AGGTTAATAAAATTAAAGTTAATACTACAATAAATTCTAATTTTCTGACAAAACAATTAAAATAAAATGTTAAATGTTAAACTACATTTACTTTAAAATTTATAATCTTGAAATATATACCTTATATAAATGTTTAATTAAAATTATTTGCATACCACGTTGCATACGAATATTTCACAAGCACAAAGTAAGCTTTTTACTTGCTCTTGCTCTTAGTGCAGTCAGTTCAGTTCATGTTCCTCATGGTACAGCTAAAAAAGAACAGATTTAAGATGGCGACGAAATGTTGCAAGTTATTCCATTCGGCAAACCTCCTCCTTCGTGGAACATTTTTCGTGACCAACTTTTTTCTCTATACGCTATCTATAGTTACGTCTCCTTACTTTTACTTCGTGTGAAAAACACACCAAAAAAACTGAGATGTCACGAAACAGTTGTTTATATAACTCATTATGCTTTTTGTGCATTATCTTTGTAGGATTGCACAATGCAAACGGAAATATTGGCATAGCTAAAAAAAATGTACTTTTGTTGTTGGGTAATTTATGATTTTTTTCTGGTTTTATTATAATTTACAAATATTTTGGATTAATTCAAATCAATAAAATTGTTCATATAAATATACATTTTTAATTAAAAAATTTATTTCTATCGTATTTCTTATATTTAGATATATGACTTTAATATTTTGAAAATGTTCTTATTTTCACTATCTTCTTATTTTGCAATATAATTATTTATTTTTTATACACAGCTGATGATGCTGGATTTGAAATGCGATCCTACTTGAATAATATCTGTCAGGCACCTAATTTGGATAAATTAGCAAAAGAAAGTTTATTGTTCAATAATGCATACACTTCAGTCAGTAGCTGTTCACCAAGGTATCTTCTTTTATAAATATAAAATATAATTCTGAAAAACATACAATTTTTAATTTATAGCCGTTCTGCAATATTGACTGGATTACCAAGTCACCAAAATGGAATGTATGGTCTTCATCATGGAATTCATCACTTCAATTCTTTTGATGATATTCAAAGTTTGCCTAAAATATTAAAGAGAAACAACATACGAACAGGTAAGATAATTGTAATGAATAATAGATTTATAATATCAGAACATTATATAATAACAAATGCTTCTTTTGTTTAAGGAATTATTGGTAAAAAGCATGTAGGTCCCAGTAATGTTTATCCCTTTGATTTTGCATATACAGAAGAGAATAATTCTATTCTTCAAGTGGGTCGTAACATTACTTATATCAAGTTATTAGTTCGTGAGTTTCTCTCACAAAATAGAACACAGTAAGTGATAATAGGAAAAATAAAAAAGTAAAGAACTACTTTTTTGATTCTCAGATTAATCGAAAATATTCCTTTACTTTTTGACTTTTCTTTATAGAGTTTGCACATATACATATAATGCTATATTTATATATTTGTAAAATTATAATAATGTATTATGTGCCATATATAATAAATTTTATAACAATATATTATTTTACTATTTTATACATTATCTTAAAATTATTATAGTTTTTTCTTACAAGTTATTTTGTAATAATCTTTTTTCAGTTTATATTGAAATTTTTGCAGACCCTTTTTTCTACTCGTTGCCTTTCATGATCCACATCGCTGTGGGCATACTCATCCAGAGTATGGTAATTTTTGCGAAAAATTTGGCAATGGTGATGTCGGAATGGGTGTAATTTCTGATTGGAATCCAATATATTATCAATGGGAACAAGTCAAAGTACCTTATTATGTTCAAAATACTGAAGCTGCTAGGAGAGATATTGCTGCTCAGTATACAACAATATCTCGTTTAGATAAAGGTATTCTCAGAACTTTGAAATGTTCACATACTTTTCTCTTATATTATGAGCAAGACATTTTTAATACATTATCTAAAAATATTTAGAGAATATAATTTTTTAGGTGTTGGTCTTGTGCTTGAAGAATTGAAAAATGCAGGCTTTAAAGATAATACATTAGTGATTTATACATCTGATAATGGCATACCTTTTCCGAATGGTCGCACAAACTTGTATGATCCAGGTTTGTAAATATAGTTACGTTTAAAACTAACAATTAAAAATATTTCAATTATAACAGAGACTTCCATTTATAGTTTATTTAAACTTGTTATTTTCAGTAAATTTAATTTTTATTACTTTTTTACTTGAATGCCTTAGTTTACAAAATAGTATGGAAAGAAAATGGGAATATTTAAAAGTTTATTTAAATAAATTAATTAAATTTAATTTTACCAAAGATAATGCAAAGATAAAAATTTTGAAATAAATTTTCAAAAAATTCTAAAGGTTTGGCTGAACCCATGATGATTTCATCACCAATTCACAATCATAGAAAAAATAGTGTGACATATAGTATGACATCTTTACTGGACATAGTACCAACTATACTTGATTGGTTCAATATAATTTACATGGATCAATTATCAGATGCTAATGAACTGTCCTCTCTGCAACTTACAGGCAAATCACTTCTGCCATTATTTCTTAAAGGTACATTCACTTTTCAATGAAATGGATATATAATAGAATATAGATTATTTTTTGTCAGCAAATTACAACTATAAATAATCAATGCCTCATTTATAGAACCAACAGAAAATAATACAGCAATCTTTGCTAGCCAGGCGCATCATGAAGTTACCATGTATTATCCTATGCGTGCAATTAGGACCAAACGCTATAAACTTATACATAACATCAATTACAAAATGCCGTTTCCTATTGATCAAGACTTCTATATATCCCCGACCTTTCAGGTAATCTGAAAAGGAGTCATCCAAACAGTGTTATCTATCATTATCTTCAACTGGAATGTATGAATTATTTATAAATATAGATTTATTCATAAATAACTTATGTTAGTGTATTATGCATACAGGACATTTTAAACAGAACACGGACCCATCAATCGCTACCATGGTACAAAACATTAAAGAAATATTATGATAGACCAGAATGGGAATTATATGATTTAAAATATGACCCAGAGGAATTAAATAATATAGCTTTAAAATTATCGGCCAAAGTAAAAAAATTTTAAATATATAATTATATATTGATATATTATATTATTATTTATTATTTCTTTTATGATAAATATGATATAAATGCATGCATATTCTAATTTCAGAATATATTTTTTGAGCTTCAAGAACGGTTGTCCAATTGGCTAAAAGTAACAAAGGATCCATGGCTATGTGCACCAGATGGTGTTCTGGAAAATATTGGATATGATAAAGACAATCCCCAATGTATGCCACTGAACAATTTAGACAATTTTCTTTCTAACATTTATAACAATTAAAATAACATTTATATCTTATTTTTATTTTGATAATTTTTTATTGTAATATACAATATATCAATAAGAAATGTTTTTCATTAATAATTATATTTTTTCTTAAGGCAAATATTCAACATAAAAATCACAAAAGATGTAATATTCAATATTATAAATTTTTTATATTTATATTTAAATAAAATAATAAGAATAGTTATTGTAATTTATATATGTATTTATATATTAATATATGTAGGTATTCAAATACATAAACAAATATTTAATATATAAATTAATTATATACAATCTTCAATATTTAATTAAATTTTATATAAGAGAAACTAAACAATATAAAAACATTTTTATATCTTAAATATAAAAAATATATTTTATTTTCATAAACATATAGAAATCTTACATATTCTCAATGTTAAATTATCCCTTTATCTGCTTGCAATGTTTTTAAGAAGATACGGGAACTCTTGCCACAGAAATATTCTTGGATTCTCTCTCTCGATACTTTGAAAGCATCTTATTTAATTGATGAACATATGCTGATGATTTGTTTGCGGATTTTACCATTGCTTTCAATTCTATTCCTATTTCGTTCATCTATAAATATACAATCAAATGTTTTTTATCTTCACGAATATATTATATCAACTGAACAAATTAATGTGAACAACATAGAAATTGTTAATGTTTATACATATGCGAAAATCTTACATATTGCTTGTAATTCAAATATCTGTTATATTTTTGATTATTATTGTAGATTTGTTTGATTTGAACCATAAACACAAGACACAAAACGAGTCCACCCAGTACGACGAGAAAATTCAAGTTTTGGAGTCCACGTAAACTGAGCATTACACTTGACGAGGGTTAGAATAACCGATAAAACACAAGAAATCGTTGTATAATATTAAACTAAGCATGAATTTAAAAACAAAGTATTCTTTTGTAAAATAAAAACATATTATTTAATTATTCTGGTTGTATGCATTTTTGCAATATTTTTTCACTAATATCAATAAACCATCAAAAGATTTAGTTAAATATGGCGTGGTACCGAGAGGTCTCCCTTCTTGCGGCCATCTGGTTCCGGTGGAGAGGGGGGGGGGTAATTAAGGAAGCGGGAGATTCAAAAAGAAAGGTTTAACATCCTAAGGCCGGCGTCACATAGAACCCGTAATCCGTAATCCGCACCGAAAGTCCGCAAAAGTTACTAGGGATTGCGTCCGTAACGTTACGTGTGTTTTATCTCCTTGTGTCCCATGGAGCCGTAAATACACACGTAACGGTATTACTTATTTTTATTTAACAGATTATAATTGTTTATTTGTATTTTATTCATAAGAAAACTACAGAATATATTATAATTTTAACAAAAATTTTAATTAAATCGTCAAATTTAGTTAAATAAATAAAATTAAAAAAGCATTACTAGTAATAACTAGTAACTTTTAGTAACTTTTACGGAAATTTCATGGAATTACGGCTCCATGGGACACA